GAAATGATTGCTTCCAGTAATTTGCCTACTATTGATGTTAGACTGATTGGGCGGTAGTTAGAGGATAGTGATCTATCCCCCTTCTTGAAAATCGGTATTACATTCGCTATCCTCCAGGATTCTGGTACTACACCTGTTTTTAAGGACATGTTAAACAACTTTGCTAAGGGCATACTAAGCTCTTCCTTACATTCCTTTAATACTCTGGCAAATATCTCATCGGGACCAGGTGACTTATTAGGCTTTAGTTTGTCTATTTGCTTACTAACATCGTTACTAGTCACTACTATCTCACTTAATTTGTTTTCTTCACTATCTCTGAATAGAGTCGGTGCCTCGGGTATCATGTTTAAATTTTCGGTGGTGAAAACTGTTGAAAAATATTTATTCAAATTATTGCTCATTTCTCCGTCGTTATCAGTGAGCTCGCCGAAGTCTGACCGTATTGGTCCAATCTTTTCTCGTGTTTTAATTTGATACATTTGGTAGAATCCTTTGGGGTTTGTCTTCGCCTCCCTTGCTATCCTTACCTCATTATTCCTCTTTGCTTTCCTTATCTCGGTTTTAACCCTACTCGCCAATACCCTATAATAGTCCCGGAGGTGAATTTCGCCACGATTTATCCTTCTACCTATAGCCTTCCTTTGGCCAATGATGTTCTTTAAATAATTATTTATCCATTTAGGGTCATTGTTGTCTGATCTGAGTTTTTTGTATGGTATGTTCTGCCTTTGTGCATTAAGTAACTCACTATTTAAATTGTCGTGGAACTCGGCAATCTCAGATCTCGTTATCAGGTCGGTGTCATCTGTCAGGTTCACAGCCAAGCGCGACATCCCCTCTCTCAGCTGCCTCTTAAAACTGTCTCATTCTCATACTGGCATTCCACACCTCTGTATATATCCAAATAATTCCCAGATACCACCTCCAATAACACTCTACTGTCTCCTTATGAGTTCTTCTGTAAACCTGACTATATACACATAACCTTAAACGTTGTTACTATGATCCTTCTTTTCCATCTCTCTGCCTTGATTACTTTTTACTGACGTGTCAATTAACATATACTCTCTCTTCATATGTTGTTCCATCTCTTCCTGCCTGCAACATCTTATATCCCTCATCAGCTTCCCCCACCACCGTCTCCACTTCTGCACACACAGCAACATCTCTTCTCATCTCTGTTCTCCTTTTCGTCATCGACCCCAAACTGAGTGAGGCTATAATTATACTGTACACTGCAGGATGGCCGAGCTGATGTTGATCTGATTCTTATCATTCAGTAGCTAGTGGGGTTACTTCTTAGACAGGATGCTGGTCCACCTAAGATTTATTCAACTGTTGACAAGTGAACCCGATAGTGAACTCATTTATCGTTTAATGCACAAAAGTTAGTGCACAGGGAAAGAACTCGGTCCTCCACTCCGGTTATGAATTGAAATAGACAGAAGTTTGTGTGAGTTATCTTATGTGGTATTTTGTGGGTTGATAAAGTTAAACGTTATATTTTCTAACCAACGGAAATCTCCCAACGGAAGAAAATGTCTTACAATTGTGATATATCATATCTTGCCTTCATTTATTATTTCTGTGTCGAACCAAGGTAATTTCACAAGTTTTTATGACTTGTTCTTATATCATTCAAGGACTTCGTCGGAAGAGACAGATACTCCAAAGTTAAGGTCGTCTTTCCTCGAGAAGGGATCCCCGCTGTCCCCAGAGTCTGCCACTGCCCTGGTCCTGCCTACAGCATATAGGAAAGTAGATCTCTCTGAGTCTGAGATACCCGAGCTAAGGTCTTCTTTTCTTGAGAAAGGCTCCCCGCTGTCTCCCGAGTCTGCTACAGCTCTGGTCCTCCCTACTGCATACGAAAAGGTGGATATATAGCGAGAAAGATAACTGGCCTTACGGCAACGAAAATTTTGTACATTCCGAATCTTAGATGTTTAAGAAAAAAGAAACATATGAGCAGCATTGTAATATAACGAGTTCTATAATAAAGTCTCATTAAAACTAAATTGTTTGATTGATATTCTTTTAAGTTTCATTTCATACAAATTTACAATAAATTTGGATGAATGTTTTGATTGGTTAGTCAGAGGAGTAGCCATTTATTTTATTTCAGGTTCCCAAGCGCTTTCATGTAATTCACATCTTCAGGGGTGAGTATAAACTAAGTAGAAGTTCAGAACAATTTATATATATATATATATATATATATATATATATATATATATGACCTACCAGCAGGAATCGAACCTCGACCTACTGGGTGGGACTAGGGAACGCTTACCTAGTCCCACCCAGTAGGTCGAGTTCGATTCCTGCTGTTATTAGGTCCGCGTGTTATATGGACTAAAAATGAAGTGTATATATATATATATATATATATATATATATATATATATATATATATATATATATATATATATATATATATATATATATATATATATATTGTTACGAGTTGGGGATTTAGAATATAGTTAAAAGTCTACCCAGATCCCAACAGGCAACGACAAAAAAAAACAAAGACAATCGGACTATAAAAGGGTAGACAAAGGATGCGAGTTTTTGTTGTGTATAATAAAGTACCATAAATTCCTTAAATTATTCAGCTATCTATAAATTACCCTTAACCATACTTAACCTAAACATTAACAGTATATACATATTTATACAACATACAATAATTTGAAGCAAGGTGGAGGTGGGAGAGGCAATACAAGATTACAAATACTTAAGTGCAGAGCTGAGATGGCTGACGAGCAAGGCTGAGTATTGTAGAAGACGGTAGGTAGTCACTGTGCCGTAGGTTTAGAGGATAGGTGATCCTGTGGTCACTTCCCAGAGTGAAGTCAACTCTCCTCGAACTCGAGCTGACAAAGAAGACTTGGAGGAAGTGACGCAACAACCAGGATATGGAGAAGGGAATCCCCGGAGTGGTAACTAAGACGAGTCATACTCGTGTCTCGTCCCTAGATGGCGTTGCTCGTGGTGCTGGGTAGGTAGATCAAGACAATAGATGGCGTGGTTCGTAGTGCTGGGTAGGTAGATCATGACAATTGGTGGCGGGGTTCGTAACAATATATATATATATATATATATATATATATATATATATATATATATATATATATATATATATATATATATATATATATATATATATATATATATATATATATAATCAACGACCTCACCAGCAAGGACTCGAACCCTCGACCTACTGGGGAACGCTTACCGGCTTACTGGCCTAGCCGGTAAGCGTTCCCTAGTCACACCCAGTAGGTCGAGGGTTCGAGTCCTTGCTGGTGAGGTCGTTGATTATATGTTCAAAGTCCGCGTGTTATATGGACTAAAAATGAAGTATATATATATATATATATATATATATACATACAAAGGAGGGTGAGATCAAGTCCATAGAGGTATAGGTAATGACTCTACTAATCTTCACAAAGGCACCGCAGCGGTCGGTAGTCAGGTCAGAGGGAGAGACTGGCCCAACCTTCTCACCTGGTTACAAATCTTCTGAATCACAAAATTGTCCAATTTGTACATACCATTACTCAAATTCACGTTAACGGATTCGGTATGTTTAATGAGACTAGATTCTATAATGTTGGATGCAAATTTTAAAATTTTATAGGTGAATGTGTACAAACCATATGTAATTCTTTCTTTTTAACAAACGCAAAGTTCAGATGAAGGTAAAGTTCATGTACTGTATATATTTTAGCGAACAGAAAAGTACAGCTATTTCCAGGCAGTTTAATTTTACTGGTATATAGTACATGTGCCTTTAATTGCAATAGTTGTGCAACCTTCACAGGTGAAGAAAGAGAATAATGTATATCTTCCTGTTCAGTACAAATACAAGTTTTCTTATTCATAGGAAGAATGAGTAGAAACATAACAGTTTGTTTAAAACACTCAAAAGTCGCCACTCTTACAGTTAGATGGTGTATCCACTGGTATTGTACCAGCGGAATACATTGCTAAGAATTTAAGCCTAGATTACAAAGTTGAAATTAGTATACTAGACACAAGATTGTCTGATTCCTCCTTGATTGAAAAGTCTGTTCATGTCTTACACTTCGATTGCTTTCTCCGATTTGATGAAAAACATAACTGCGATAACTTCGTTTAGGTTGTCTTTTGACTGTTGCGTTACCTTTCTGGTGCAGATTTGGTGACGACTGGTGGATGGTGGGTTTGGAACGAGGCTGGCGATGAGTGTCGGGCGATGGCTGATGTTCTCCCACTGGCGCTGGCGTTGGGTTGCGAGGATATTCATGCTTTTGCTATGATTTTGGGAGGGCGGGTGGCAGCTGGTGGTTACCCATATTGAAGTTGGTGTGGTGGTTGTATGCTAGAGGCCTCCGAAAATGCCGTTTTAGTGGTCTGTTTTACAATGTAGTAATGTAAGCACTGTGAGGTGTTATGCTTATTAGTGTAATATTCATTATTGGGGTATATGTTATCATTAGAACTGTTAGCTAGTAATTTCGGTACAACCCTACAAGATCAATAAGCAGTTATATTGTTTGGACTGTTAGTATTTCTGTAACGGTTCCATTAGGTGTGCCCTTTGTGGATATACTTGTTGATAATAGTCATAGTTGGTTCAGTTATATTTTATTATTGACATATTCAAGATGTATTTCACACCCTGTATCTGATTTACCTGGGACGTCTCCAACTTTGCCCTGGTGGTGAATCAGTAATTTTCAAGTGATCGAGCAATTTCGTGTGGCTTTTACTTTACAGATTTATTTTTATGATTTAGTTAATAAAAAAAATGATTATCTGGTATAGATGATGTCCTTTGGCCATTGTGATTTTATTTTCTATCAGTCTATCAGAATCGAAGATAGCATTTAATTTACTACACGTTGCAACAAATCTCATTTTTCTGTTTTTTCTTAGATTTTCTCTATTGAACATCTATTTTTGTATCTGAGAAAAAAATATAGGAATTAAAAGAAATGTGGTGATTGATTTGTTATACAATTCTGTATTTTTTTGAAGAAGTAAGCAATGCTAATGCGGAGTTTTGTCAAATTTGCCATTTTGATGCAAATAAAAACAACAATGTATGATGTCTTCAAAATATATATATGACATTGCCTCCACACAAATTGTTTTGCACTGGAAGAAACGGAGATGGCTCAGCGTAAGACGAATCTAGTCTTCATCGCTGTCATCAGAAATCATAAAAGTGGGTTTTGCTGGAATAGGATTAATGGCTGCCATGGTCTTGCGGACGGCAGCAAGAGGCTGAGCATGGGGTGCAGCGACAGGGACGATGTCCAGGGTCTCCTCACTTGAGTCATCATCGTCAAGAGAGATGTAGGGGGTGATCACCTTTGGCTTCGAAGCAGGGACAGGGTTGGGCATTATCTGAGAGTAACGGTTTGCTACTGGAGGCTGGGGTTCTGGGATGGTGGCCACTTGAACAATGGCGGGTGGTGCTTCGAAAGTGGGATTATACATGGCCGCTGCAGGTGCCAACTTGGGAAGCTGTGGGAGCGGGGCCGTCTGCATGTAGAGGGTGTTGACGGGTGAGGCTGGAGCTGTGATGGGGGCAGCATTTTGGATGGCCAGGTTCAAATAATCAGCTTCAAACTTTGCCTCAATTTCTTCTCCATACTCATCTATATACCTGGAATGGAATATGTGAAAATTATTGTTTACTCAAGCTGAACCAGTGTGAAATACTGAGATGTTTTATTTGGAACTAAATTTGATAATGTTTCTTAATAATTACACATATCCTGTTTAGCATACCCATGATCTTATTTGCGTAATGAAGAAGGGTTTAACCCTTCTATAAACAAAAGCAAATACGTCTGAAAACAAATCCATGTTGATAACTGAAGTATTAATTAGGTGAGAGAATATTTAGTCCGAATGTTTGAATAAGTAATTGGCAGCTCTAGTGGTGGTATATCTTTTGAATCCCTCAGTATGATAAGACAGGGGGACACTTCAAGCAGGACTTGGAAACGTCTTCGAGTATAGTGAGTGTTGGTTGATAAATATGTGGAAATAATCACCTGGCAGTTTTGTCGGCTATCCTTGGTCAAGTTGCCAAATTGTTTACCAGTGTCGTTTACCTGCTCTGTCTCGGCACATAGGAAAATGTATACTCGAACAGAATCGATGAATGAAGTAAAGTGTGAAGAGGTCTTGGTCCGCTGGTGTGTACATTGGTGGTACGGGAACTGGACTTGAAGATTGGTGGCGGACTTGGGGGGACTTGGGGGTTGGTGGACAGTACAAGAATAATGGTGGAGAAATTTGAAAATACTCGTAGATTATTAGATCTTGCGGGTCAACCTAAGTGCTTCTCTTGTTTCATGTTTGTGTTTCAGCTAAGTTTCGTCGGAAAGTGTATACTCCCACGTGCGCCGTACACCCATTGTGTCTATAGTCATACTAAACTGTATAACTGCATACAGTAGTTTATAAACATGCTTATCCAATTATAAACCTGCATGGCTGCTTCACTGAATATTTATTATTATTATTATTATTTTTATTATTATTATTATTATTATTATTATTATTATTATTAATATTATTATTATTATTATTATTATTATTATATCACAATGAGATTAGGTTAATTTTATAACTAAATAAAAGTATCCCATAAATAACGTCTCGTAATACAAAACTAGATAATGTTCTCAAAGAAAATTAAACGGTTACAGTTTTGATCGGTAACTTTAAAAATCTTAAATTTTCAAAACATCATCTTATATTCCGGTTTGACGGGAAAAGGAAGCAAGTGACTTGTTTAATTCTATAACGTTCCCGAAGAGTTCGTCCATCTGACACAAGGTAACCAGATATAACATGCTCGTAGGCCGTAGGGAAGAGCTAAAACTTTTGGTGTGTGTGGAGCATGGGGGGATACATAGCCCTGTAGTACTTCATAAAATACATGGGGGAAGTTATAGCTTAATTTGGTCACTATCTGGTATTATCAGCAATAAGATATATCGACAACTGAAGAAATACCTCGTGTCTACCGAGATTTCTGATGAATCGAGTTAATATATTGGACTAAATATCAATAAGAACTTGTATTATACCTCCTGTAAATGATACAATATATAACTACACAGAAATTCTTGGGGGTGTACCCACCAGCCAAAAGTTTGTGGGCTTCAGCCCTTCAGCTCCTACGCCTCTTTATAACATAAATATCTTCACCTAACCTGATCTACGTTAATTTTAATAGAGTATAGTTAACCACGGCTCGTTCGTGTCTGTTGTCGTGGCTCCAAAGACTAAAATTGTAGAACAAGCTGTGACTGTCCTTGTACATGCACTCTTCGTGAAATCACATTCGTTTTTTTCCTGCCACCATCAAATGTTTATTATTATATGACTTCTAATACAGCTCAGCGCGCCTGCGCACTACTGCCATTAGCTTTGTTGGTGTGAATTGCGCCGTTAAGCTCTAGTACGGCAACTTTAGGTGAAGGTGGAGAGGACGAAGTACTGTAGTGTTCCATCAGTAAAGGCAATAGATGACCTAACAGAACAAAACTGTGCTTACATTAAAGTACGGCCCGTTCATACACTGGTGTCCAATCTATCCCCTTTCGAAAATGTAATGTTACTCTAGTTAGGGCTTGAACATACTTTGTTGTGTCGACAATAAACAACGCCAAAATTAAAAGTAAATTTGCATGCTATCGGAAACTAGACTCCCCATTTACAAATATTCTCAATTTGTCATTGCGTCCATTCAATTGATGTACATCATGGGTAGTAGGCAGACACACATGCAGGGTCACTATTGTCTGGAGTACTGTGTATAATACTTTTGTTGAGTTACGTTCAAAATGAATACAAGTCTTTTCAGAGAGTTTATAATATTGCTTTACAGACGTACATAAAATTATATCCTAACATGCTTATAAGTATAAATAAATGAATCAATATTATAGTAACAGTAAAACAAGTGTGTTTTTTTATAACTTACGTGTATAAGATGGTAACGTCACGAGCGTTGTCCCCTCCGATAAGAGCGATGCGGCAGCTCGCCAGACCAACCAGCGCCAACAGCACCAACTGTATACATACACCCATACAGTATATTGGTTAAAATATATACTCATAGGAACGCGAGACTAAAACACCAGCATAAATAATAAATTGTATAAAATTTGAGTTATACCGGTTTGTAGATTTTGTTATTGAATCACATAGGAAACATTTTGGCAGATATGTTAAACGATTGTGTATTTGAGTAGTTAATTATAATCTTATTTAAAAAAAAACTACGCGTGGTAAAGTGGTGCGTACAAATATATTTTAAAGTTATGAAGAGTTACACAAAAGTAATAAAGCAATGCTTATAATTATAAAAGTGTACAGCAGCAACATTCATAAAGAAATCATTATTATAATAAAATTCGTGAAAATCTATCCTACTCATATGTGTAAACTCCCCAAATTGTTAAGATTTTGAATGTTAGTGAAAAGTTGCTGTAACACCAACAATATTTGGCAGCGATTATTTAGAGTAAGTAATAATTCATTGTTACCCACCACTGGAAAAATATGTTTTGCGAGATTCTTAGATAACTAATAGATATTCATACTTCTGTATAGAGATACAATATTGACATTCAAGTCCATGACACAGACACCTGTAATCAGCGAGTATTGAAAGCGGGGTGTTATGGGAAATACGTCACACGTCAATTTATGATAAAAAATTAATTATGTTCAGATTAATCTACATGAATAGCCAAATTGAATATGATTGCGAAGTACATTATTTTTTTGTATGATAATGTATTACGATAACCGATAAAAAAAAATATATATATATATTATAGTTAATGGTGGAATTCCCCAGCAATTCTTTTGTCAATCGATAATGGACATCAATTTATTTGGTTTTGGTATCTATGACAAAATAAAAAAGACGTTTGAAATACGACAATAATCCACATAGAAAATGAAATCATTTTGTAAGCAAAACCCCCACCAACATGCCAAAGTTCGTCAAAACTGGGTAACTTGTTTCGAAGATATTGTGTTTCTGCACACACACACACAGGTAACCCAAAACAATAACCTCGTGCCTCATGACAAGTAAAGATTAATAACACCCGCGTTCTATCATGGCTCACATGCTCACATACTTACACTCTTCATGGTTGAGGGTCAGTATAGGGGAGTGGACACAGCGGTGAACGGGAGAGTCGAGTCAACTGATAACCCAACTTCCTCCCGCCTCTTTATATACCAATAGCAGAGGGTCAAGAGCAGACAGGAGTATAGGGTCGTGTGGGTGTGACGTAAGAAGTGGGTGATCAAGTTTTTGTTTTTGTAGATGTGTGTTGCTAGGCTCGTGGTCCTTACCTTAAATACTGTAGGTGAAGGATGTTAGTCCTGCAACTGTTTGTATGGTTTTGTGTTGCATGTGTGTGTTTATGAGTATTTTTTATTTTTGTGTATTTCATGTGTCTGTGGATGTATTTATATATACCTGGTATAATAATAATAATAATAATAATAATAATAATAATAATAATAATAATAATAATAATAATAATAATAATAATAATTAATGGTTTATTGAAAGAGCATGGCAACCAGAAGGCTGAAAATATAGTTATATAATTGGGGAATGAGTCACTTGATTGACAAATAATATACATGTAACATAAGTGATACAAATATGATATATATTAACAAGGCTGGGAGAAGGTCATACTACAGGGCATTTCAACATAAGGACAGTGCAAAAAGGTAAGATTGACTGGAAGTTAATACACTGGTTGACTAAGAGTTGTTGATAATTTTTACAATCGTTGGAACTGAGCTGTTCTTTTAACGATCAGTACGTGCTCGTATGGGCTGGATGCGGTTGTGGTGTCGAACAGCAATTCGTGTGTGTGTGTGTGTGTGTGTGTGTGTGTGTGTGTATGTGTAAAGATACATTCAATTAAATATATAAAATCTTTAAAAGTTGGGAATCGAAACCTGGACTCTGAGTCTGAACTGGGATCGCACCACCGAGTCACCGAGTCACAAAAGCACCGACCGCTGCGGTGCTTTTGTGAAGATTAGTAGGGTCATTACCTATACTTGACCTCTGTGGACTTGATCTCACCCTCCTCTGTATATATATATATATATATATATATATATATATATATATATATATATATATATATATATATATATATATATATATATATATATATATACAGACGAGGGTGAGATCAAGTCCACAGAGGTATACAGTAGGTAATGACCTTACTAATCTGTGGACTTCATCTCACCCTCCTCTGTATACATAAATGGATAAATAATTATTTAAAAGACATTATTGGCCAAAGGAAGGCTATAGGTAGAAGGATAAATCGTGGCGAATTTTACCTCCGGGAGTATTATAAGGTATTGGCCAGTGGGGTTAAGACCGAGACAAGAAAAGCCAAGAGGAACTATGAACTGAAGGTAGCAGGGGAGGCGAAAACAAACCCCAAAGGATTCTACCAAATGTATCAAACTAAAACACGAGATAAGATTGGACCAATACGTTCAGATACCGGCGAGCTAACTGATAACGACGGAGAAATGAGCAATAATCTGAATAAATATTTTTCAACAGTTTTCACCACCGAAAATTTAAACATAATACCCGAGGCACCGACTCTATTCAGAGATAGTGAAGAAAACAAATTAAGCGAGATAGTAGTGACTAGTAACGATGTTAATAAGCAAATAGACAAACTAAAGCCTAATAAGTCACCTGGTCCCGATGAGATATTTGCCAGAGTATTAAAGGAATGTAAGGAAGAGCTTAGTATGCCCTTAGCAAAGTTGTTTAACATGTCATTAAAAACAGGTGTCATACCAGAATCCTGGAGGATAGCGAATGTAATACCGATTTTCAAGAAGGGGGATAGATCACTATCCTCTAACTACCGCCCAATCAGTTTAACATCCATAGTAGGTAAATTACAAGAATCAATAATTTCAAACTCTATTCGAAACCACCTGGAGAAGCACAAGTTGATCAATGATTCCCAACATGGCTTCACAAGCGGGCGTTCATGTCTAACTAATCTATTAACATTCTTTTCATCAGTTTTCGAATCGGTGGACGAGGGGCACAGTTATGATGTGGTATATCTCGACTTTAGCAAAGCCTTCGAGAGTCCCCCACGAAAGACTAATTAGAAAGGTAGAAGCGCATGGCATCAAAGGTAATATCCTTAAATGGATTAGGGCGTGGTTAAGGGACAGGAAACAGTGAGTGAGCATAAACGGCACTAAATCTCATTGGAGCAACGTCACTAGTGGAGTTCCCCAAGGCTCAGTACTTGGACCATTATTATTTATTATATCCATAAACGACATAGATATCGGCATAGACAGCAACATAAGTAAATTTGCTGATGACACTAAAATAGGACGTGTAATTAAATCTGACGAGGACTCTGCAAAACTACAGGAAGATCTAAACAAATTTTTCGAATGGTCGAAAAATGGCAGATGAAATTCAATGTGGACAAATGTAAAGTACTCAGTATAGGAGATGTAAACAGGGAAACCAGTTACCAGATGAACAACGATGCCATTGTGGAATCCAACTGTGAGAGAGATTTAGGAGTAATGATAAGTAGGAATCGTAAGCCAAGTAAACAATGTGTTTTTGCTCGTAACATGGCTAATAAAGTACTTGGGTTCATACAAAGGAGTGTTAGTTACAAGACTAGCGAGGTCATCTTAAAATTATATCTAGCGCTTGTGAGACCTCACCTGGATTACGCAGTTCAGTTCTGGTCACCGTATTACAGAATGGATATAGAATCATTGGAAAGAATCCAGAGGAAAATGACAAGACTAATCCCGGGCATTAGGAACCTTGATTACAGAGACAGGTTAAAGCATCTTAATTTGCACTCCCTCGAGAGACGTAGAGTGAGGGGCGACATGATAGAGGTGTATAAATGGAAGTCAGGGCTAAACAAAGGGGACATTACAAAGGTACTCAAACTATCCAACCAGGAGCGAACTCGAAACAATGGTTTTAAATTAGACAAATTTAGATTTCTGCGTGAACTTGGTAAACACTGGTTTGGAAACAGAGTAGTGGATGAGTGGAACAAGTTACCAAATATCATCATTAACTCGAATACGCTGAATAGCTTCAAACATAGGTTGGATGCTTATATGAGCAATAGGGGTTGGGTATAAACGGGACTGCCCAGTATGGGTTAATAGGCCTGCTGCAGTTTCCTCCATTCTTATGTTCTTATGTTCTTATAACTTGTTCTGAACTTCTACTTAGTTTGTACTCACCCCTGAAGATGTGAATTACACGAAAGCGCTTGGGAACTTCGTGTTTTCTTTTTCCTTGTGGTTATCAGCATATACCTGGATCACGCGCACCTACAGTGATTTATTTGCATATATATATATATATATGTATATATATATATATATATATATATATATATATATATATATATATATATATATATATATATATATATACTTCCTTCGGTTGGTTGTATTTAGGGCAAGGTCTATGTATTTAGGGGATCCTTCACTTCGAGAAGAGAAGGGTCGTTCACGAAAAATTGTGAGGATTTTCCCTAAACTGTGAGTAATTATTTCTTCTACTACCTCTTTTATACACACGCGCGTGCGCGCGCATTGTCACTATCAGCAAACGAATTTGTTCTTAAATACTGCAGTTAGTTTCATCATTGACTGTCTAAACAAATAGTGTAATGCGGTGTTAAGGCCCACAGCCTCATCAGTGTTCGAGGAGTCAGTACAGTACAGTTGGACTGGGTATTCTCTTGAGTTGTTTTCGAACAAGAGCATGTTGTCGTCGCAGTAGTCTCTGTATTTTATTGTAACTTTACTTTCCTTTCAAATTTTGTGGCTGTTTTATACATGGCAAAAACTGGGAAGTGACCTAAGATGTTGCTATAAATAAATCCACTTCCAAGATTGTTAGGAGTGTTGTTCGACCAGATAATATTATGATCTATCACAGTGACAGAGGTGGCAGCTACTCTGGTGGGTTTGTTTATTGTGTTGAACAAGAGCTTAGAATGACGGGTAGCGGAAGGTCTGCTGAGGCGTCCGTCTTTGATTTTAGTAGTTCAAGGTTGAAATATCCTGTAATGTAGCAAAGTTTCCTTTCCAAACTTAAGATAAAGATAGCTCCGACAATTTATCAAGAAAGTTCCTTACATTGGTTTGGGACCTTCTGTAAATTATCTCCTGCTAAAATATTCCGTGTTATACTTTGCACAGTATTAACCTTCACAGCCTGACACCACTGTGTCGTGACGTAATGCCGCAACGACTAGTAAGGGATGTTATACAAATGTTCAATATCGGCAATGAGTTTGGTCTCACAGTGGGCAGTAGAAGATGTACACTGATCTATAAAAGTTTCTTGGTGAGAGGGAATACTCCTGATATTATGGCACATTAAAGTGAAGGAATGGGGTGGCAGGAGACTAGAGCTAAACTCAGGCGAGTCAGGAAAATAATAGGTACAACTGGGGATGGTGTAACCCAGTGAGTGTTGTAGAAACGAATTAGTATCAATATGAGGGAGTATTGTGTCGTCACCATTGGTAAAGGGGGTGTAACACATACGGTCCAGTACATCCAGGGTAACAACACCAGCATCATCAGTGTAGGAATATTGGTACTGATTAAGGAACAACAAAAACTCAGGGTCACTGAGTTGTGAAAAAGGTAAGGTTAAAGAAATTTAGAACAGAGAAGGGGTAACGCATTCACGAGTGCTACAACCAACACACTAAGATGTCTGGTGCTGGTGAGGTGGACTCCTGGTTTGGGTGGGAGGGACAACTTCCTCTTGGTTAAATGGGCCGTCTAAAATAAGAGAGACGTTACCTTCTATATCATCCGGCTTCCTTTGTCACAACCCGTCTTATATGAGGTGTTTAGAGGGGAAGTAAGGAAAGTTTAAGTGAAATGAGATAAACTTGTATATATTTTTATTAAACGATCAGTATGACGGTGACTCTAGACTCGCGAGTGACACTTACTGTGGACACCCAATAATGGGACCAGAAATGTCTTGTTTAGTCCTTATCGCTGTCCTCAAGGATGTTGGTGGTGGGTCTTAAAGGAAGAGGATCGATGGCGGCCATGGTCTTGCGGACAGCTGCAAGGGGCTGAGCTGGAGGGGCGGCCATGTCATAGGGACACCAGGAAGGGGCTGGGCAAGAGGTGCTGCCATTGTCATAGGGAGAGCAGGAGGGGCGGCCATTGTCATAGGGACAGCAGGAGGGGCGGCCATTGTCATGGGGACAGCAGGTGGGGCGGCCATAGTCTTGCGGACAGCAGGTGGGGCGGCGGGAATGACTTGTTTCATCTCTATGATAGCAACATCATCTTCAAAAAGGATATATTGGATGACCTCCCTGGGCTTGGGTGTAGGGACTGGGTTGGCAGCCACCTGAACATGGCGGGTCTCGATGAGAGGGGCGGGAGTGGCAGCTGGTGTGGGGGCAGTCTTCCTCAAGGCGGGTGGAGGAGCAGCCTTATTGAGTGTCAACCCCAGCTGATCTGCTTCCACCTCTACCTCCACCTCCTTCCCAGTGTCATCTATGTAACTAGAATTAGAGAGAATTATATTTTTGTTTAATAACTATTACCAGCAGTAGTCTACCTTGCTTGGTAGGTCGTGTCTAATAATGTATTTCAAGCAAATTGTTATGGTCACTATTGGAAAGTCTAAATCAAGATTTGTTACTCACGAGTATAGGATGGTCACGTCACGGGCGTTGTCCCCTCCGGTAAGAGCGGTGCGGCAGCTCGCCAGACCAACCAGCGCCAACAGCACCAACTATACACAACACAACGGTGAGTTAAGTGCCAACAGAAATCTACCAGCCATTAATGTGAGAGAATTCATCTCTGTCTTTTAAGCTCAATGTAGTAAAGATACAACCTTTTATTTGGGTTGTGAGACCTGAATAATTCATGAACCATTTACTGGATGATAGTTTGTGTATTAAACCATTGTTACTTCAGAAGGTTTCATTATAATTTATTTGTTCATCTTATTTTCTCACTTACAGACTAAGCGTTTCAGTTTCCATGATCCACATTTGATGTCTGTTTTTAAAATAATGTTTATTCATATGTATTAATAAATTAAAAATGGGAAAGTTCTTATTACAATGTTTTCAAGTTTAAAAGCTAATGTCTTTTGTTATAAACGTATGAGGAACATTAACAAAGACATATATTGGCAAGTTGTACTTACACACTTCATGATGAAAACGGGAAGGTGGGGAGAGGACCAAAAGAGGTGTTGGGTTAGCAGAGGAGTAGCGTCAACAGATGACTGCACATGACATGACATAAAAGCTAGTGACAGGGGGGAAAGAGGTTCAGGGGAAGGATAAAGGGAAGATAGAAGTGAATTTTAGAAGGAGAGAATAGGTGCAGTGGCTAAACACCGCTTGCGTGAGGGGATATGACTGCACCTCTTGCCGCCGCCTCATATACCAGCTGGATGGGAGATGGATGGGACTGCTCAGTTACAGGTGGTATAGAGGACAAGTGGATGACCACCAAATAAGGGAGGTTTTTGTTTGGGTTTTGATGCTAATATTTTCTTTCATGTTGTTCCCTAATAAAAAAAAATATTATACTAGGGATACTGGAGAAGTGTAAATAGCTGTGTGTATGCTACGCTAAAAAGGGACAATTGGCGAAATAATGATAACTTATTTATATTTTCCTTTAAACTTCTGACTGGCCATAAACGATCATGTAGACAACCATAATGAAATAACAGGAAATTTTTGCCATATATGAATAAAGTGATTAGGTATATCTTCTATGCAGCTATACATTTCTGCAGGAACCGGACATATTGGAGGGTTGGCTCTCTTAATAAATCGGTTTACAGATGTATGCACTTCTCCCTCAATTTTGTCAGGATCTTCTTACTGTTTTTTCCTAACATGTGAGTTTCTGGATCATTTTACTCATTATTTTGTCGATTTCATCTTTGTTTTCCTTCGCCTTCTCTCACTCACGTTATTATTATCTAGTATTACCGATATCGAGTTCGTGTTTTACTTCTATAGTTCATCGTCTATAAGATAACTACTTCTTTAGTGATACTAGCTTCTGTCGCTTGTTCGATAGTTACAAAATATAGTTGAGTTAATAACTTGTGGCATCCAGGTTAAAACGCTCATTATTTATGTAATCAGTGCTTATTATCATTATCAAATTATTAAATTGTATTCCTTGATTGAATAACTGGAGTCTAGTGTTACAGCCAATAATTTTGATTTACAAACTAAGGGAAACAATAATTTAAACAAAATGCCTGAAATAGAATGGTGCAAAACATCAATACAAAGGAATAAACTCAAGTTCGAGACTCTCTCCACTGAACTTGAGTAAGTTGTTTACATTTAATTTCCGGCAGCCTTGAAAACCAAATAATTTTGTCACGCATCATTTAATTTCACGGATGCAAGTTTTTCGAGTAACATTACTTATACTTGAATGATGGTGTAACTGTCACTCATCTTACCTGGTCGAGGATGAAGCTCAGGTAAATCTCTGGTGAAGCTCCAGTTGTATAATATATAGTTAGCAAGAAACATTTCCTGTGGACACATACACGTATTTTGAGATGTAGTGACAAGAATATACACATTTCTCCAGTATCGCTTATGTAATGTGGTTACCAAGGAACAACAGGTGGGAAGGCATACATTAGCATCAAATCCCTAACAAAAACCTAACATGCCTGGTTCCACGCCCGTCTGCTATAACCTTTTTTGTACCATTCTTGTTAGTACATAAGGCGGCGGCAGGAGGTGCAGTCATCTGTTGACGCTACTCCTCTGCTAACCCAACTCCTATTTTGGTCCTCTCCCCACCTTCCCGTCTTCATCATGAAGTGTGTAAGTACAACTTGTATGTATTTTGTTAATGTTCTTCGTATGTTTGTATAAAGAAACGTTAGCTTTCAAGTTTCATAACTTAGTAATATGAACTTCCCTCGTTTTAATTTATTAATACATATGAATAAACATTATTATAAAAACAGACATCAAGTGTGGTTTATGGCAACTGGAACACTTAGGCTGTAAGCTAGAATATAGGAAGGAAAAGCAAATTACACGAAACCTTTTGAAGACTAAATGGAACATAAAATTTTCATTACTAGTAACTTTATCTTGTAACATAAGACATGAATAATTCCATTTTGTTTTCTTATTTCATGTTTAACATACAGCTTTCAATAAGTAACAATGGTTTAATACACAAACTATCATCCAGTAAATGGTTCATAAATTATTCAGGTCTCACAACCCAAATAAAAGGTTGTATCTTTACTACATTGAGCTTAAAAGACAGAGATGAATTCTCTCACATTAATGGCTGGTAGATTTTTGTTGGCACTTAACTCACCGTTGTGTTGTGTATAGTTGGTGCTGTTGGCGCTGGTTGGTCTGGCGAGCTGCCGCACCGCTCTTATCGGAGGGGACAACGCCCGTGACGTGACCATCCTATACTCGTGAGTAACAAACCTTGATTTAGACTTTCCAATAGTGACCATAACAATTTGTTTGAAATACATTATTAGACACGACCTACCAAGCAAGGTAGACTACTGCTGGTAATAGTTATTAAACAAAAATATAATTCTCTCTAATTCTAGTTACATAGATGACACTGGGAAGGAGGTGGAGGTAGAGGTGGAAGCAGATCAGCTGGGGTTGACACTTAATAAGGCTGCTCCTCCACCCGCCTTGAGGAAGACTGCCCCCACACCAGCTGCCACTCCCGCCCCTCTCATCGAGACCCGCTATGTTCAGGTGGCTGCCAACCCCGTCCCTACACCCAAGCCCAGGGAGGTCATCCAATATATCCTTCTTGATGATGATGTTGATATCATAGAGATGAAACAAGTCATTCCCGCTGCACCTCCTGCTGTTCGCAAGACTATGGCCGCCCCACCTGCTGTCCCCATGACAATGGCCGCCCCTCCTGCTCAGCCTCTTCCTGCTGTCCCTATGACAATGGCAGCACCTCTTGCTCAGCCCCTTCCTGCTGTCCCTATGACAATGGCCGCCCCTCCAGCTCAGCCCCTTGCAGCTGTCCGCAAGACCATGGCCGCCATCGATCCTCTTCCTTTAAGACCCACCACCAACATCCTTGAGGACAGCGATGAGGACTAAACAAGACATTTCTGGTCCCATTATTGGGTGTCCACAGTAAGTGTCACTCGTGAGTCTAGAGTCACCGTCATACTGGTCGTTTAATAAAAATATATACAAGTTTATCTTATTTTACTTAAACTTTCCTTACTTCCCCTCTGAACACCTCATATAAGACGGGTTGTGACAAAGGAAACTGGAGCACATAGAAGGTAACGTTTACACTTTTGCTTGACATTTCAAATGATTACCAACACTAAATACCCGATCTAGTTATAACAGATGAAAGTGTTACATGAAATCGCATATACAGTAAAAGAACAGATTTAACTTCTTTTGACCCGAAATATTGATTAACTCAATTAACAAAAGTAAATATTATAAATGATTATATATACACGTTTAAATTTCAATCAAAACAATTCAGAAAATATAACAATAAGGACTATTCTTTGTTATAATTAGGTTCTATTCTAAATGTGATATTGTATAACATGAGATTACATGCGCTGCTCAGGGAAGAAAATATTAATAAAACCAAATTAACACTTTATCACTAACATAGAAATTTGCTTCATTCATATGACAACTGGACCCAACAGGTTATCGACAAGTTATGATGACTCATTAGTGAAATAAATTTTCTACGCCTCTCCATCATGAATCCCGTCCAGCCCCTGGAATTAGAACTGACCTTTGTAATGCCTGTTGACATTGCTGCGATGCCATTGTAGGCCCATACAACAGACACGCCTCTAGACGTATCCCCAAATATCCCGAGGGTTGAGAGACTACCCTGGCCAGACTTCACATTGTTCACTCTACACTGACTCACAGTCACTTGATGGCCCGGAAACAGCAACCATTATATATCAATTACTTCATTCCCTTGACTATGATACACTTGCTGTTCGAGTGTCCCAGCGTGGAGACCTTAGGAGGAGGCATCTGTTCAGGACCCGAGGAGAGAGTGGCAACTATACCGCCTGTCCTTGGTTCTCGCGGCAGATGTTTCATTTTTAGAGGACTGGAATTTTAAGTTTACCGATAAGTCTGGCCTTTAGCGTATATTAAAAAAAAAATCTTTCAAATATAAATGCGCCTTGGGTTTTCTGTTTCATCAGGTTTGGAACAAGTGACTATAAGTGAATATGGGATCACATCAAACTTACGACGCCAGATGTGTTACCCCCTAGGCCTAGATAGTAATGATAAATAATAACAATAATAATTAGAATGGCTTCCCCCCATCTGCAATTTAATAGTTTCATCATGGTAATATGGTTTTCATAAGTTATACCAGTTATACCTTCATGTGACAGGATAAACATCAACTGAATGAAAATGTTTCAGAAAGATAACATTTGCCAGGACATTTGGTCGGTACATGAAAATCTGGTACAACAACAAATTGTTTTATGTCGTCTGTGTGAGATGCCGAAAGTTTATCATCACTATTGTCGTTATTGTCCAAAAAAATAATAAAATTTCTTGTCCTTAATCTTGTTGACCAACATACAGGCTAATTTATTTTCTTTTGACAACAGTTGGCAATTATAACTGTACTAGGTCTTATACTACACTCGCATTAACACATTTCTGGATCTAACCACATAATGTAATAACTCGTAAGAAAATGACTATTTATTTCTTCTCGGTCAATTATCCTGTCGCCACTACTTCTATTTACCCAGGGGTGTTTGTAGGACATGTAAACTGAAGGAAGCACAAGGTAGACTTAAGCTGCAGGTGGTGGAGGAGCCACAGACAAGTTGTACTGAGTCAACCAATACTAACAATATAGTGAAATCCAATTATGACAATATAAAGTATGGGTAGGTTTGGTTAATGTTATAGACATGTTTGTGACTTACAGTATGATTTTTAGATAAAGATTATGAATGAGGTCTTTGTGTTTGTCAAATTTAGTTATCTAAGTTGGTTAAAGATTCATTGCTATAATTCCTGTCTCAGAAGTTAACCTACAATGAGTATTTCAAAATGTAAACAAGGACACTTAATCAAAGTAAACAGAAAATTTCATAATGTCTTTATTAAAGGATCAGTATGACGGTGAGCATAGTCGTGTGAATGGCGTATGGTGGGAACACTTATAAGAGTGAATGCAGACAATACTTGTCTATTCTTCGTCGCTGTCACTTAGGTCTTTGGCAGCGTGTTTTGAGGGAAGAGGGTCGAGGGCAGCCATGGTCTTGCGGACAGCAGGAAGGGGCTGAGCTGGTGGTGCGGCAATAGTTTTGCGGACGGCAGGTAGGGGCTGAGCTGGTGGTGCGGCCATTGTCATAGGGACAGCAGGAAGGGGCTGAGCTGGTGGTGCGGCCATTGTTATAAGGACAACGGGAAGGGGCTGAGCTGAAGGGGCAGCCATTGTCATAGGGACAGCAGGAGGTGCGGCCATGACCTTGCGGACAGCAGGAAGGGGCTGAGCAGGTGGCGCGGCCATTGTCACAGGGGCAGCAGGAAGGGGCTGAGCAGGAGGTGCGGCGGGAATGACTTGTTTCATCTCTATGATATCAACATCATCATCAAGAAGGATATATTGGATGACCTCCCTGGGCTTGGGTGTAGGGACGGGGTTGGCAGCCACCTGAACATAGCGGGTCTCGATGAGAGGGGCGGGAGTGGCAGCTGGTGTGGGGGCAGTCTTCCTCAAGGTGGGTGGAGGAGCAGCCTTATTAAGTGTCAACCCCAGCTGATCTGCTTCCACCTCTACCTCCACCTCCTTCCCAGTGTCATCTATGTAACTAGAATTAGAAAGAATTACAATTTGGTCTATTATTATTACCAGCATTGCGAGTTATAAAATATATAGCAATTTAAACTTTAAAGTAATGCCCTATTTGTTAATTTTTATTAAATATTTTTAGCTAATGAATTGTATGGGTATTTTTATTGGTCACTATTGGAAAGTCTGAATCAAGGTTTGTTACTCACGAGTATAGGATGGTCACGTCACGAGCGTTGTCCCCTCCGATAAGAGCGGTGCGGCAGCTCGCCAGACCAACCAGCGCCAACAGCACCAACTGTACACACAACGGTGAGTTAAGTGCCAACAGAAATTAGAGGAATTATTATATTTTACTAAATATTTGTTCCAAGTGGTCATTAAATACGATTAGTGTTTTTGAAGACGAAGCCTGAATAACTAAAGAAACAAAATTAGAATCATGTACGAGTATTTGTATTGAGCAACTATCTGTTGTCTAACTAACTGAATATCAAATAGGAAAGTGATAAAACATGAATAATTATATGCAATGTTGTTACTTAAAGTTTTTAAGATCTTTGCTCTACAATGTCTATTTTTGTCTTGAAAAGAGTCATGCAAGAGTAATGCAATATTTACATCTTAAATGTTGTCTTTGTAACAAATTTGATGCTTTATATATATATATATATATATATATATATATATATATATATATATATATATATATATATATATATATATATATACATATGGATAACCACAAGGAAAAAGAAAACACGAAGTTCCCAAGATGTGAATTACACGAAAGCGCTTGGGAACTTCGTGTTTTCTTTTTCCTTGTGGTTATCAGCATATACCTGATCACGCGCACCTACAGTGATTTATTTGCATATATATATATATATATATATATACACACAATCAGTGATTATGAATAAGAAACAGGAAAGGAGAATCCACATTATACTGTGAAGAGAAGTGAGTGTAATCGGGTTTCATGAATGATGTAGTGAACTTTGAAAGTCAATGATTTTTATAAGTTGTTATTGAACAAAATTAATTTATATGTACACCAAATACTTACACACTTCATGATGAAGAAGAGAAGGTAGAGAGGACCACAAATTAACAGAGGAGTATAGCGCCAACTGATGACTGCATCTCCCGCCGCCGCCTTTTATATTAGCATGGGGAGAAATAAGGATGGGACAAAAAAGGGGCAGACGGTGGGCGTGGCACCTGGCAGGTGGGGTGTTTATCGAGGATTTAGTGCTGAAGTTCACTTCCTACTTATTGTTCCTTAGTAACTAAACTACTTAATGAAAACTGGAAGATCCAGAGATGGATTTTCTCCCAATCTTCATCGACATTAAATTTATAGTCATACATCTGAACTCATACTCCCAAGACAACCAACTACTGCAGTTAAAAGAACATTTACATATACTGCCAGGAAAAGTTTGCCCATGACATCAATTTTCAAACACCGTGAACTATACAATGATTCCTCGGATTTAAGGATTCGATACTCAGTCGTTTATTGTTTATCATTATTAGTGTGATACCTGTAGCGGTACATACAGTATACCGGGAAATATACAAGGAATCCTATGTGTACAGTTGGGATACGAACACAAAGAACGATTGCTGAGAACAAGACAACTTCTCTCCAAAACACCTTATTTAGTGATGAGGAACCACAGCCACGAGCACCACCCATATACTGTAGTAGACTCCCCATTCACTGTCCACTCCAGTCGGAGCCAAGACAAGGAGTTCCGCATGATAGAAATTCCGACGTTATCCAGAAATAAAGTCAGTTGAACTCGTGTGATATTGCTCAGGGTGTCAATATTTCTTTCTTTCATTATCGTTGTTTGCAGACACAGATGCCTCACTCAAAAAAAAGAAAAGAAAAAAAAACTACAGGTATACGTGCAACCTGTCCTTATGGCGCCCTTGAGTAAGTAAAAAAGTGTCCTAGTTGGCTGGGTCATCTTTTTGTATGCCCGTCTCCGGACAGTCAGCAACCGTTTTCCAAGGACAAAGTTACTACAATCCTCTGACCAAGGCAAATCACCATGGTAATAGTGAGAGTGAAGTAGTTGACTTGAAATCCTGTTTTGACTATAAAGAGCAAACTTTAGTCGTTATGATAAACAGGCGTCGAAGAAGAGGTTACAGTCCCCATATAATCCTGTTCTCTTGTTGTGTAATCTTTGCAAACTTATAGTAGAGAAACAGTTACATAAGCCATTAATGCAGTTATCAAATATACTCGTACCTTCAGGTTTTAGAGGAGAAGGTCTCTACTGTTTTTTTTTTGTTTCATTATGTGTTCTCTCGAGATATCGAGACCGAGATTTTATGGTAATTGTACTATTTAAGTTTGACAAAAGTGAAAGTCATCAGTAAATATAAAATGTTGAGTGGTACATTACGGTACTCAGACACAAGACTGCCAGTGCCATACAACCTAAGGATTTTATATTATCACAAAAGTAATAAAGGTGAAATTTCCTGACTTTTCCTGACCTGAGCGGAAACCCTGGTATTTCCTGACCATTGTAAAATTTCTATTCTTAAGAAATATGAGTATAATTTTTGCTGCCTTTTTCTTGGTCGTGAGAACCCAATGGGGTGCTATCCTGGGGGGTACTTAGGCTGATCACGTGAACAGAAACACTCGATAATCGATAAAGAAGTGAAGTAGATAAAAATCTATATGATATACAATATATAGCCTTGAAATACCATACACGGATCTTCCAGTGTCTTTTTTTTTACTTTGAAAATATAGGTAGGACCAAAACATCAGCAATAAATTCCGAACAAAAAACCTTACTAGATTGCTGGTCCACCAGTTATCCTCCACACAACCTGTTACTACGCTGTCCCGTCTGACTCTTCCCTCTGATACTACAGTATATAAGGCGGCGGCAGGAGGTACAGCCATCAGTTGGCAATGTTCCTTTACTAATTCATCACCCCTTTCCACCTACCCGTCTTCATCATGAAGTATGTAAGTTTAACTCACAAAATACATATAATTTTTTCTTCTATAACTACTCTTATTTTATATATATATATATATATATATATATATATATATATATATATATATATATATATATATATATACACACAATATTGAACTTCACAGCTCACTGTAATTTTATGAGCTCCAAGTCCGTCTCAGAACAACTCATTAGTGTTTCTCTGTGTTCAGATTATAATAGGAATCCTTCTGTGGCTTTTATACGAAAAGAGAAATATTTACTCTGAAAGAGAAGATTGAAATAGATATTGCAGAACAATTTTGGACAATGTTTAGTAGCAACATTATAACATAGGTGTGATTTTACTTTATTTGGTCGTGTGCAGGGGGTTTGGGGGGCGCTGTAGTCCACAGATTTTATTTTTAATTGGCCAATATCATGGGTATTTTGCAGCCAGATGCACTAAATATTAGGAGATATGCTGAGGTCAACAGTAATTACTTTTTACTATACAAATTGCCTGTTTACAAAACTGCATTAAAGAAAAAGTATTGGAATTTTATGATGAGAAGGGGGTCTGGACCCCCTGGATCCGCCCCCTGATTGTTATTATATTGGTCAAGGGAAAATGTGACGAGATATCTGACTAATAAAATTTATTTTCAACAAAAGACATGATATGAAGTTATATGTCTTCTCCCTATTTCTAACTAGATATACCGTGGGGCGAGGAATTCACTATACAGTATACCCGTATGATTACAGAGAAACACCCATCAGCCTTACCGCGGCCGATGCTCTTGTTGCCGGCCCAAGCGAAATGCCCGACCAGACCACACCACACCTAACGCTAAACTGACTGTACATCTAACAATATCTCTTAGCTGCAGAGAGTATACTGTGTTCTGAGTGTCCAATCAGAGCCTGTCTCAAAGATTTTTTAGGCACTTTTTCTCCTCTGATTGGCTGGTTCACAATATCTATCTGGTCACCCTTGAGAGGATAACGAATGGTGACGAATTGGGGTAGTTGTCGCTTGATGTGCACTGTAACCACACAGAGTCCCACAGATCAATTTTCAAGTTTCACTCGTAAAGGTTAGCTATCATGGGTGTAGGCGTGCGTGGGAGTGTGTGTGGGCGTCCCTTTTATTACAAGATTACTCATGAATAGTTTCAGTCACGATTAGTTCTTATGCGGTTTCTCATAGATGGTCATTTAAATACTGTAACATTACCTTTCTATAGTCTATCCACTTAATTCACCGTTGTGTTGTGTACAGTTGGTGCTGTTGGCGCTGGTTGGTCTGGCGAGCTGCCGCACCGCTCTTATCGGAGGGGACAACGCCCGTGACGTGACCATCCTATACTCGTGAGTAACAAACAAACCTTGATTCAAACTTTCCAATATTGTTCATTTAAATACCAACTTGATCCATTACTTTGACTTACATTATTAGAGACGAACTACCAAGCAAGGTAGACTACTGCTGGTAATAGTTATTAAACAAAAATATAATTCTCTCTAATTCTAGTTACATAGATGACACTGGGAAGGAGGTGGAGGTAGAGGTGGAAGCAGATCAGCTGGGGTTGACACTCAATAAGGCTGCTCCTCCACCCGCCTTGAGGAAGACTGCCCCCACACCAGCTGCCACTCCCGCCCCTCTCATCGAGACCCGCTATGTTCAGGTGGCTGCCAACCCCGTCCCTACACCCAAGCCCAGGGAGGTCATCCAATATATCCTTCTTGATGATGATGTTGCTATCATAGAGATGAAACAAGTCATTCCTGCTGCACCTCCTGCTGTCCGCAAGACTATGGCCGCCCCACCTGCTGTCCCCATGACAATGGCTGCTGCACCTCCTGCTCAGCCCCTTCCTGCTGTCCGCCATACCATGGTCGCCCCTCCTGCTCAGCCCCTTCCTGCTGTCAGCAAGGTCATGGCCGCACCTCCTGCTGTCCCTATGACAATGGCTACCCCTCCAGCTCGGCCCCTTCCTGCTGTCCCTATGACAATGGCCGCACCACCAGCTCAGCCCCTACCTGCCGTCCGCAAAACTATTGCCGCGCCACCAGCTCAGCCCCTTCCTGCTGTCCGCAAGACCATGGCTGCCCTCGACCCTCTTCCCTCAAAACACGCTGCCAAAGACCTAAGTGACAGCGACGAAGAATAGACAAGTATTCTCTGCATTCACTCTTATAAGTGTTCCCACCATACACCATTCACACGACTATGCTCACCGTCATACTGATCCTTTAATAAAGACATTATAAAATTTTCTGTTTACTTTTGTTACGAACCCCGCCACCAATTGTCATGATCTACCTACCCAGCACTACGAACCACGCCATCTATTGTCTTGATCTACCTACCCAGCACCACGAGCAACGCCATCTAGGGACGAGACACGAGTATGACTCGTCTTAGTTACCACTCCGGGGTTTCCCTTCTCCATATCCTGGTTGTTGCGTCACTTCCTCCAAGTCTTCTTTGTCAGCTCGAGTTCGATGAGAGTTCAGTTTACTCTGGGAAGTGACCACAGGATCACCTATCCTGGAAACCTACGGCACAGTGACTACCTACCGTCTTCTACAATACTCAGCCTTACTCGTCAGCCATCTCAGCTCCGCACTTAAGTATTTGTAATCTTATATTGCCTCCCCCACGTCCACTTGCTTCAAATTATTGTATGTTGTATAAATATGTATATACTGTTAATGTTTAGGTTAAGTATGGTTAAGGGTAAATTATAGAAAGTTGAATATTTTGGTTAAGGAATTTATGGTACTTTATTATACACAACAAAAACTCGCATCCTTTGTCTACCCTTTTATAGTCCGATTGTCTTTGTTTTTTTTGTTGTTGCCTGTTGGGATCTGGGTAGACTTTTAACTATATTCTAAATCCCCAACTCGTAACACTTTGATTAAGTGTCCTTGTTTACATTTTGAAATACTCATTGTAGGTTAACTTCTCAGATAGGATTTGTATAATGAATGTTTAATCCAACTAGAAATATCAAAACTTAAATTTCATGAACCCTGAAAGACATGATTCATATTTCACTACAACGCTCACATCATCCTTCATTTGCCCACAGGGGCCGCTTAAGGCTCGATGGACCCTTTTGACATTTGAGCCTTGTTACAGTGTCTGCGATGCTCATAAAATTTGTTGCATTGCTTCTCTGTGGAGGCGAGAGAATGGAATGTCTGTAGGGCATCTGTGCCTCTTTGGGATCGGTATGACATGAGTTTGGAAACGTTCAAGATGTCCAAATTTTACTGTATACTTATAGCTACTTTTTCATACATATATCTGCTGTGACTTTGGTAAAGTTTTCACGTGGATACTGACATCAACAAGTACTTATAACCTCTGTCTTATATTAATGTGACAAAATGTAAGAAAACATTGGAGGGGCGAGCCATCTCTGGAATGTGAAAGTGGATCTTGTAGGCCTCACAGTACATAAAAGGTAGTGCATAATACAGTAGTGTACAGCACACTGCAGTACAGTACTGTGTATAATCCTGTTGATCGTTTTTCTGGTGGTAATTATGAATGAATCTGGGACTGTACTATTGTAACCTGTTCTTGGATACAAATTCCCCTGACAAACTCCATCTTCCTTTTGTAATATTTTCTGTAGTAAACATAATCCTAACCACAACAAATCAGGGGACAGTAATCACAAATATATTTTATTTTTTAATTATATATTACTGGTGGTATCCACTTTATCATATTATACAAAGATATACAGTATTTTTAGATATTGTTCATAAAAACTGCATCACCATTTAATGCTTCCAAACATAACAAATCAACCAAACCATAGGACATATTCTGAGGAAATAATATGATGATGTAAACTATATTTTTAACTCCTGTTTGGGAGGTTATAAGATTATCACTTTATCACAAGGTACATTTGACACACAGTAATGATATTTCAAGTCAAACACTTTCAAAGTTTTGTGGCAAGATTCAATATATCCGAACTATTGAAGTAGCCATAGACACAAACAATGACATGGGTGCCTAACTGCAGTATGTTGTATACAGCATCAATTTTAAATATGCACATGCAAAACAAAATAAAATCTTATGATGAAGAGACAGTTGGCTTTACCAAACGATAACACAGGTGGTTTAATTCATCAATAGTTTGTTATGATTACTTACATACAGAGATTAATAATGAATGAAATAAAAAGAATCATGATTAATCTAACATTCATATAGTATTTCTTGTATTGAAATAACAAAATCAAATCAGTCTTCTGTTATTAACATGACAAGGTCCACCAGTGTTATCCAACATGAAACCTGTGAGTACAATGTTGAAGAAAAGCACATTCACAATGTTGTTCACTGACACCCAGAGGAAGCGGGAAGATGAGGAAGGGTTCAGCCGCGACACTTTTTCCCAAGTTAACTATTTCAAGTACTTTTTTAAAACTTTTTATTTCTTTAGAGGAAAGGGATCCTTCTTCATTTAATTCTTTGTTTTCCAAGCACTTAGGACCAGAGAGCCTGTGGGGTCTTTATAGTCTACACCATATCGTTTGATGAGTGTAGTCCCTGGTCCTAGAGTTACCTCCCAGGTCCTTATACAGTTTGTCACTTAACTCCACTACCTAGTATCTCAGACTGTGTTCAGTGTTCATCCAGCAAACACCATCACCACTGGAATAAAAGAAAGTTTTCTAAAGGATTGGATCTGTTCCATTCCACATCACTGATGCATTCTTCCATTTGGTTCTAATGCAGTGCTCTAGAGGAGGGGTGATAGCCAGATCACTTTCCTCTCCATTCAATTCTGGAAATATATAAGATTATGTAGGTATTGTGTGTGAAACAGACGTACACACCCAAACAAAAAAATGGACTGAGGTTTTGAAGTGAAGGTGACAGAGGAGAGTGTCCATGTAAACTTGTGTACCCAATCCATGTTGATTTAAAGATAAGGAACATGTGAATAACAAAAACAAAATATAATGAGACTTGGTGTTTTTCAAAGGAGTGTATTGAGATATTATAGGTATAAAATAATGTACAGGGAGAGGATAAATCATGTAGATATGTTAAGGAAGAAAAAAACTGATTGAATGAATGACAAGTGTATAAGTTATGCATAAAAGGTAAGAGATCATATATAGGGAAGTGTAAAAATGATGAAATAAATAAATAACCTACGTAATAAGCTTGTGAAATATATTTGGAAAGCTTTATGGCAGAGTATAATTGAGAGAACTGCAAGTCATTCAGAAGGAGCACCAGGAGGAAAAACAGTGAGAGTGCAGGAAAGGTCAATGATGTCTGAATGATGCGTTCATGTTGAAGAGTGTCAGGGAAAATTGATAATAAAATGAACTTGATGAGGGAAGAACGAAATATATATGGGATGATGATGAAAATATTTAATGCTGCCCAAAGGTTTTATAGAGAATAAAGCAATTGTCAGTGTCTCAGAATATTGTACTGTACTACATTGAAGGCTGCTACGATACTTCATTATCTTAACAGAGAGAGTTGAAGGCATAAGTGATGGAGAGGGTAGCACCTCTGACTCACAAAAGAGGTGGGGTACTAATGGGAGGTTTCAGTTGTTGTTTGTAGTATAAATATATAATATAGTAAATCAAGCTTGTATAAATTCCAATAATTTATAATAAATACGGTACTGTAATATGATTACAAAGACTTACCAATATTAAGTCTTATCTCGTCTTCTTGAAGTGCAAGTCCATCATAGTAATAAATGTCAAACTTGTTGACTGAGGGCAGGTCTGACGTCACAGAAGTATCTCGGCTAAACAGGCAGCTGTAGTGACTCTCACAACACACTACCCATATTGGGTATTGTGGGCTCTTGAGGAATGTACCAACCTGTGGGACATTTTATAAACATATCAATTTTCCCAGTCCTCATGGTTTTCAAATTGTTAAAATGTAAAAGAATCCCAGTTCAGTATTTAAATGTATATTATTTTTTCATATTTGCCAAACATACATACTGTACAGTATAGGCTCATTGCTTAATCTCCATAGACATGTAAGGATTTTATCTCCACATTCCTTTATATGGTTTAACACTTAAGTTTACAATGCCTTATTAATGTTTTAAAGTTGTGATCAGTAAAGTACTTTAACCTCACCTACCTTGTAACAGTCATAGTGTTCAAACAGCGATAGAAGCCCAATTTCTGCTTTATGGGTGATGCCATGAAGTACAAGGCTCTGACCATCGTTGTTGCCTAAAGTCTGATCTCCGTTGAAAGTGTTGGTAAAAGCTCTTCCCGTCAAGAGAAGATTTACAATTTCTTGTGAAGAGTAACCGTGAGCATTTATAAGATGTCCTCCGCCAGAGTCCATATCAGTCTGGATGCTGAGAGAAGTAAACACAGCGCTATAATAACAAAAATACTGATACTGAACAGAATTGTAAGAATAAGAAAATAATGACTACGTATTCTTAACTTTTTATTGTGTCTTGCTGCTGAGTGAGTTGTGCAAAACAACTTATACAAGGAAGAAGTTCGCTAGTTTGACCCCCAATGATAATAACACAAGGTTTTTGGCTTTATGATTGAAAAGAACTACAGTATTCTAAACAAGCAAACTAGGATTTATATCATCAAATTTTACCCAACTCTGACTACTGTTGTGAACCTCTAGTATCACACTGATATATAACAATAATCTTAAAGGATGAACAGCTAAATCCTACTAAGATATAAGCCAAGATCCCAATACAGCACTAATTCCATAAGAGCCACTGAAGAATATCCTCCTGTTAGCTAAGGCCAAAGTTGGTCTAAATTTTCTAAGGCTGAAGGATTGAACCAGCATTACTGCGCTGTTTGGTCCACTCACCATCATATATTAGCGTATCATTACAACTAGACCATACTTGACTGCCATCAAACAGACCACGCAGCAGAAAGTTGATGATATAACTACCAGGATTATGAAGTGTTTGTTAAAAGGATGTAGCAACACTGATGAGACTTTTAACAACAAACATGGTACAGTTTGTCTTCAGGGCATGAGGATTATAACAACATCCCCTGTATGTTAGTTTATCAAGTTAAATGGGAAGAGAAGACTGGACTGGTTAACTGTGTAATCAGGACAAGTGACTGAAATATTGATGATGGAGAAATAACCAGGATGTCTTTCTTTTGAGTGTCGGAAAGTTGAAGGGTAAAGAAGTTAGTGAGAGAAGAGTGCAGGTATAATCATGAATATCTGAAAGAGTAAGAGTGAAAGAGGTACAGTGTTATTGTCAAGGTGATGTAATATGGGGTAACAATCCCGGAATACTTGGGATCAAACTAAATATGGGGTATAAAAGAGGGTTAGTTTGTGTTTATGTATATACCTTGGATGAGAGAAGCTTATATCTCTTGTATACATAATAGTCTCTAGCAAATACAGTACAGTATACTAAATCTTACTATCCAGCGGTGTGTCTCGATATAGTATACATAGCTTGTACTGTACTGATGAAAATCATCTTGGATTACTCCCTGTGGTAATATTTTGCTCCACTCATGCATTAAACACAGTAATACAGTACTTTACTTGAACTGGTTAAACCAATGTGATTTCAGTCAAACAAAAATATCATAATATTGAATTTATCTTTTAAGACTAAGGACTAATACAGTACAGTACTGTAACTTCTAGTCAGATATATTTTCAAAGTATAAAAGTGCAGGGTAACTTACTTTTCAATCCCTCTGGTGAGTATAAGTGAATACAGGAGAACAACACAGCCTGAACTGCTCTCTGAGGTGAAGGCTGTGATGTGCCGAGTTACAGCATTATACAGGTCTTGCTGCTCAATAAACTCATGTATAGTGAGGTTCTCCGTCATTCCATCTTGGCTGTAGCGACCAATACCATGCTCCGTGAAGTGGGCAAATGAGCCAGGCCTGTGAATTTAAGACTAGTGTTTATACTGTACAGTACAGTCATCCCTTGGTTATAGCCCACTTGGTTATCGCGATTTTCGTTATCACGCCTCCATCAAAATCTGCACACCTGCCGTTATTGCGCATTTTTCTGGCAGAGAATTTGGTTATCACGCATTTGCCTCCAGGTGTAATGTTACCCCCTTGCTTCACCTACATCTATTGAGGATAAAATCTTTCACCTACAAATTGACAATAACACATTTGCTGTAATCAGACATATCTAGTTGCCTCAACAATTGCAGCCCCAGTTGCAATTGGGGTTGCAATTTCAAATTCTGTGTCATTACTAAGGAATAACGAAGTCTCGGGTGCACTCTAAGATTGAGAGAAAACGGAGGACTCAGGCGTCCTGAAGCGGGAGAAAACGGACTCCTATGACGGGGGACTCGAATAAAGAAAGCATCGCTACATGTTTTGTGGACTACAGTGTTGAGCGTACCCTTTTCATCACTTTGTAATAAACCTAGCCATGCCTATGTGTGTTTCTGATACTTACCATAACATTATCTATATCTTTAGTGGGTCTAAATGGTCGTAAAATGGGAAAGTTGGGGTTGGGTCTAGGGTGCCTGGAACCAATTAGAATAAATTCCATAGGTTCTGTACTTTCGTTATATATATATATATATATATATATATATATATATATATATATATATATATATATATATATATATATATATATATATATATATATATATATATATATATATATATATATATATATATATATATATATATATATATATATATATATATATATATATATATATATATATATATATATATATCGCTTACAGTAAGCATACATTTACCCTGTATTTTCAAATTATAAACATTACAGTAAATTTCTGAAGTACAGTACTGTAGTTAATTTAGTGATGGGTGGAAGACTTCCTTCACTTTCATGCCTGATACCTTACAACAAGACTGGTGGTCTGTGCTACAAATTTCATATTAGTCAAAGTATAAAAATTGCATACAACGATGAGAGAAATAATGTAATGGATTACGAAAAGATAAAGAAGTGGGTATTAACGTAGCATATATTACACTGACATATTTTAAATAAAAATTAACATAGCACTAAAATAACAGTACACGTACATGTAATCACTAAGTTAAAAGGTACTACAGTATGTGAAAAAAGTCCTGGAATAGTTTTTTCTCTTTCATTGGAACATATAATTATTATGGATCTAAATGCAAGTAATATACAGTACTAAATAAAGTGAAGGTATCAATGTTATATTGAATAAAATATTTCTTAAAGGATAAGGAAATGTAGCAAGCCAATAACTTAAGTATTAGGAAGGTGTTTGTCCGTAACCAAAACAGGCCAGAAATCTAGGAGCTTTCCTTGCTGGGTGTGGCATAAAGAGAGATGGTAAACGTCATTAAGACTTACTACTTATGAAGGTTAGTCTGACTTTTATGGGAAGAAAGGCAACCTACACTGATTTTCTGTCTGGTAGATCCACCCCTGTATTAATTCAGCCAAATAAATAAGATAACATTCAGTATTACTCTGAAGATTGGTAATTTAAATTTAATTTACTGTGTCAGCACAAACTTACATAGCCAGCACTGCTTTCTGTTCCTGACCAGCTTTCCAAAGGATCTCTGTGATTGCCACTCCTAGGGCCCATAACCATTCTCTCTCTGAAGGTCGAAGGGGACTTATTGGACTTGTTGTTGGAGATACAGTTGTACCAAATATTAAGCACTTCATCATGTATGCCTGAATACATGCTAATACTCCACATGGTCCTCCCTGAAAAACATAAGAGACACTTTGAAATCTTACTAATAATTTATGACCTAATATGTAACATGGAATATGAGTTATGCGAAAGTGGTAGTAAAGTATCCACGAGAACACTAACTAAGTTTTTAATGGTCTCCAGAGTTAAAAGATTGACCATATATTTCTGTTACCATTCTACCAACCACTCACCAATTATTTATATTTAGCAATATTTGTCAATCTAAATATTCATGTCACACTACCTTATTCTCATATTAAAAATATGAAAAAAAATTGTATATAAAGAAATCAATAGTAAATATTATAAAGAAAAAGATAAATTTCACTCATTAAAATGCTAACCTTCTTTTGAATAAGTCCGTATGATAAATTGGGATTGGGATTCTGTTTGAAGTTTTGAGACAGCCATTCAGTTGGAAGAGGCTGGGCTGGACTGCCAGTAAGAATTGTTCTAAGTTCACTCGCTTCTTCTAGGGTGATGGGTCGTCCTAGAGATTCCTTACTTACATTTTCTGGTCCTAAGACAAGCCCAGCTACCTTATTGTCCAGATCATCTATATCCTTCAGGATCATCTCTCCATCATCATCACTCAAATGGCTCTTTGATAGTCTGTGGTTCCTCTTCCTTCGTGACTTGGCGTTGAATTTGTAGGGTTCTCTCCCCTTGTCTAGGTGTCCCATTTCTATTCCCCGTTTTATTCTCTTCTTCTTGTTTTTCCGCTTACTGTTGTTACTTACATCACTCTTCAACGTCGAAGCATCCATGAAACCTTGAAGATTTAGAATTTGAATATCCTCATGGGAACTAGGAATGAATTTGGGTAAGTTCTTTCTCTTTGCTTCACTGAGTTCTTGATCAGCGTTGGAATATTTGCCACCTTCTGGGCTCACGGGTTCCATACTTAGTCTTGAGCTTGTGTTGGAATCATAACTGCCAGAGTTACCATCTAAGAGAGACTGTTTGGATCCCCTCAAACTCTGTCGCCTAATAGACTGGGCCATTATATCATGATGTCTATTAGTTTCTAGATAGTCCACAGGTGGTCTCAAACTAATACTACCCAGAGCACCGAGGATTTGACTACTCATTTCTGTCCCGCCTCTTTTGCCTTTGAGATATCCAGCCATGTGTCTCTTGTCTCTGTTTTCTGTGTGTTCGGTGGAAGGAAACTTCTCGTCCTCTTCTTCTTTCGACTCAGACACGTCATGGTCTCCAAGTATGGATTCACTGCGCTGTTTAGTGAAAGTCATCCGTCGGTGGGCACTTCTGGAATGCGAGTCCTCCTGTAAGAGCGAGAACAGTTTAGTACAACAAAATTGATCATAAATATTCATTGACACAACACTTAAGTTCTTGGGTGGTGGTACTTAAAGCTTTCTTTTGCCTTATCACTTTACAGTATTTAAAAGTTATATATCAGTTTCCTAAATTATTAAGAGGTAATCCCTAATAATTAAGTTAAATATTTTATTCAGCAAACTAGAACTATTGACCTTTATATTCTGCTATTACAAATTTGCATACTGTGGTGGTGAGTGAGGTGAGGAAGTCTGTTTTTTTTTTTGGCCTAAGTCTGCGTATAGGTTGTGCTACATGACATGAGGGTTCAGAGAAAAATTTATCAGTTTGTTAACCTCTTGGGTAGTCAGCCACTGGCTCCAGAATGTCTCTGAACCTGCACCAGTGTTGGTCAAGTCTGGTCTTAAATGACCTCACACTCGGTACTGTTACAACATTCCCTGACATCTTATACCATGAGCTAACAACTATCACTCCAAAGAAGTTAGCTTTGACAATTTTCTGTAATGATAACTATTCTTTTTTATGGTAAATATTTGCAGTCATATATTTTGTTCATTTCAATTATAACCTTTGTGTTCAATGTGCAAAGACGGACTTTTACTACCATCTTAGACTACCCTTTTAAATCGAGGAAATTACTCTATCTGTAAGAATTACTTGCAACAATCAACGATCAAGAACCTTAGAGTAATCCTTAAATTTGTTTTGGGTCACTGATAAAGATGGCTTGGCTCCATGGCAACACCCACAACTGAGAATAATTTTTCAAGTACAGTACAGGTATACTGGAGGGAACATTTCACACTGCACTGTTAGCTTCATATGCATCAGCTTTGGTGCAAGATAAGCAAACTTCCCCTTCAGTAAATAAGTTCCCAAAAGCAGCAGTAATGGGGAACTACTTACTCCATAGGCCTTAAGCACCACACACGTACCTCTTTACTCGTAACTGGCGCCATCATCCCACGTATACTTCTGGCGCCTCTTAGCTGGTCCCTCTGAGCAGCAATGGTGGCAATATCATCATCGGGGTCGGTATCAAACACACTCCTGCCCTGACCACTTCGAGGTACAGAGCCATTATAATAACCTCCATTTCTCCGTGTGTAACCATTCATGGAGCCACGTAACGCACTGCCAGGGATGTGACCGTTGCTGTGAGACTTTAGAGGACCGTGGAGACCATTTTTCAGCTGTAAAAAAAGATAACATATAAAGGGGCGTTTTGTAGTAATTCTCATTAACATTCTATGGGTAAAATTCTATAATAAAAGAAACTATAAATATTGAGAATACTTGTAATTATAAGCTGACTCTCTAGACACACAAGAGCTATATACAATTAATAACCCACGCACACTCACCCATCCTCCACTTGCTTCCTCACGTGACGTCAGATATACCGGCTAATTATATCCTTAATATAATGGATTACCTACATGTACTGAAACTGGTAATGACAACTCTGGCATGCGAGGGTAGTAGAGGCGCCCCCCTGCCTCCCTCCCACCGCGACCTCACTGTCACCATTATATTTAGGGTTGGACCTGGGGGGGTGGGTCCTGATCCCCCGTTTCATCAGAAAATTCCAATACTTTATCATTAATGCAGTATTGTACTCAAGCGTTTTTTAATAGTAAAAGGTAATTACTATTGACCTCAGAATATCTCCTAATATCAAGTGCACATGGTCTCAAAATGCCCATGATATTGGGGGATTTCACAAATTTTCCGGGGGACTTACAGCACCTCCCAACCCCCCCCTCCCCAACCCCCAACCACCCCCTCCCAAACCCCCCCAAACCCCCAACCCCCCAGCTGGGCGGGCTCACTATTCCCCCACCCACACCTTCTTGGACCCCCTCCCTTTTGATATTCCTGGATCTGCCCCAGAAATTACTACTGCTGCTGGTTCACGCTAGTTATCAAGCACACATTGCCTTTTCAATAAAATTCTACCACCATATACATCATGTAGTTTATACTAATACCATTTAGGTCACTGAAAGCCAGAGATTCCTATCTAATTTGTAGTGAATTTAGATGGCCCACTTTCACCAGTTCCCTTAATTACTAGCAGGGGAGTCGTGCTTCTCAATCCTCACGCTATCTGACCATTGACCCATGTAAGGGGGTAATACTGTATATTGATGCTCCTCTGTTAAAATGTTACTCAGCCTCAAGTTGTAATATACAGCATGAAAATCTGTGCGCTAATTTCATGTAAAAACTAGACAAAAAATTATATAAATTATTTATCATTATGTTTACCAGATAGATGTATTAGGTTATTTAGCTTTGAGTTCTCTTTAATGTACGACTAACAGTTCAGAAGATAAAGCAACTTGAATGGCAGCCTAAAAACTACAACATACCATTGAATGTACAAGAAGAGTTCTCCTTATATGGAAACATCATCTCCCTTACACTACTACAGTATACCCACTCTCCCTCCAATAGGCCTTGAGTCGTGGGAGATACTGCTTCAGCGTGTATGGTAATCGCACTCCCAATTTTGATAATGAGATTTTGAAGTTTGTACACCCTCTACTGCCTTCTGCTTTTCTCGGTAACAGGCACTAATTTTACCCCGCCCCCCACCCCACCACGAGCGTCCCCAGCCCTGTGATAGGATCGAAGTCTAGTGGAAGAGCAAGTATCCCCTCCACCGTGCACGAGAATGGGAACGGGTACAAACATAATTACAGTATACTAGGTTAAGCGTGACACTGGGACAACTAGGATTAATTTGGTTGTAGCAGAGCAAGGCAAGTTGGATGGTAGAGGTAATAGCAGTACAATAATAGTATTACAATTTGCAGTTAAGGATAGCTTACACTACTCTAAACGTCAACAGTTGTATAGTTTGTCGCGGAAATCAATAAACTGCAACACAAATACCGCGAACAGAATTACCACACACCCTGAAGACATTCCCCTGACGCCCTTCCTCTCGCAGCTCTTTTAACACCAATATTTTATTATTTGTGAGACCCAATACAAGAATGATGTTTTGGTGGTTGAATATTTCAGTCCACGATTGGTTTGTTTTCATCAAATCAGGATAGGCTTACTTGCATTATGATAGACAATAGGCTAATAAATGTCCATCTGAGACGCCTTTGAGTACATTATAGTAAGTCATGGCCACATACTCACCTCAGGGCCAGAACGGTAGGTTTCCAGCGGGTCGTCGAGAGTGTGGGCTGTCCTGAAGTTTGGTGCGTGAGTGTTGAGTCGCAGCAAATCTGGCGACCTCCTGCTGCCTTCCCCACTGCTCCCGCTCCCTCCTCCGCCATGACGGAGACTTCCTACATCTTCGTGGTGTGAGTTTTGGTGTAGCAACAGGAGGTGCTGGGGTGTGTGGCCCAAGTCCTGCGTACCCGGACGAGAGAGTGTCGCCACTCCAGCCCGGGACGGAGCACCCGACCCCAGCTCCTCTGGAACGCGAAAAAATGTGCCAGAATATGATTAACTTGTAAATTGGAAACAGACTGGTTGTAACGGATGGTACGTGCTAAAACACTAAGGGGACCCTGGGGAGGGGGATGCACCTGCATGTTACTTTTTAGACTCGCCTTAAAAATCCCCCACCCCTTGTACGTGTAGTCAGGATTTCTTTCTCTTACCCCCCAAAAAAAAATAAAAATTTCTTTCATTAGGAGGAAGGTTGGTTAGGTTAGTATTATGATAAATATATACAATGCGAATGCATAACTTTAACGCTAAATTATTTTTTAATGCTGGTATGATTAAATATTATTATTATTTTTTTAATTTTCTGGTAAGATCAGAAGCTCAAAGTCTCAGGCTGTTTCACACAGGTAAAATGAGAAAAAAAATGAACACACACTCCCCGTTAGGAACCACTTTCACTTTTTCATCATCTTTGTCAGTTAAGGTTTTCACAAAAATACCTCCCCCATCAACGCTCCTGTAGACCTTCAACTGTGTAATAAAACTGGCCGCCTCGATGAGAATAAAACGTCAACATCGCCTATTAGTAATACATTGTGTTAAGTTTCATCAATTTTTAATTCAGATGTTATTCCGGGCTTGTGGTAGATAATAAAATTTTAGTTCCAACAAGATACCATGAAAGATCACACAAAGGAAATTTAGTTAACAAATCGGAATCTATTTTTATGTTAGTTTAATCGTTTTATGACAGAATGAAAGCTCATTACAATTTGATACATTCTTGTTACGGGGAAAATAAACATCAACGCCATCAACACAAAATATGGTTCATGGTCGATGTTTTCTTTGGTGATCACGTGATGTTATTGTTGACCTTAGATCTGGGTTTCAAATCATGACCTCCTGACTGAATACAATTTATGAATTAAGAATTATATAATGATTATGAAAACTTGACGACCTGATGTAATCGTAAATACCATGGACTTTTTAGTAGCTATAACCTATTTAAAGAGATCTAAGCCGTAATAGGAATAATTGTAGGTATACCACAAGCATTTTTCCCGTCCAAAATGACGAGCGCTGCCTAATTCAAGGTTAACTTTTAAAATTTGCAGCGTCTGAGAAGAGAAAAAAAACATAATTATGACAATGGTTTATAACCACCTTAATCCTAGTTAAAATAAGAAAATTACTGTTATTTTGTTATGAAAAGAAACTAAAGCACTCTACTGGTGCCACAACAGAGTTCACTCAGTTACGGAGGGTCACACCTATACACAGAGGTCCTCGTGTACACGATATTGGAACAAACCGGTCCGACTCAAATATTGATTCCAGTATTTCTGAATATAGAGAGAGGAGATATTATCAGTTACCGTGACTGCACATTTACCAACACCCAATATGTAACACCGTGAGCTGAGATTCCGAGTTCTGAAGAAAGAGAAGCAACCAAAGTGATATTACAACGTTGGGAAATACTTATGATTGCAGAATTTAATAATACTCAAATTACATTTGTGGAGGACACGTATAGGAGAACTGGGGGAGGGGCGGAGGTTGAAAAGTATTTTTAATTTTCATAAAGTTTTGAGTAAATTTTCTTGTGTGAGGCAAGACAGTAACCCTTGTGTCATGAAATAAATCTAACGTTCCCGTAAAGACAAACATATTTAGTACTTGTATATTGTGAAGGAATCCACACCATTGTACCGAGTGACTTGCGTTTTCACTTAAATACCTAAAGAAAATTGATATGGCATGTGAAAAGATTACTATACACAACATCCTCAGTCCTCATGGCTCCCTGAAAATATCCGCAAATCCTCTAACAAATCCAATAAATAAATAAATTCTTTTAATATACCAACAACACCCAACCACACTGAAAGTAACAAATTTGGCTTCCACGTATCGTTAAAGTGGCGGGAACTAACTAACTGGTGGGGTGAACAATGTATATATTCTTTAGACCATGGAGGTATGAGAAGGCAACAAGTGAGAGACCAGAGTGCGTACGGCGAGAAACACGATAAGAAAGATCAATAGAGCAGTGGGTCAGGAGGGTGGTGGGTGGTGGATGGTGGATGATTACGGTGATGGTCACGACACTCTCTCACTCACCAGGACATGGAACAGACACTAGGGTTTACTACTATACTCTATTTACCCTTCACATTCCCGCTGCGGCTAATGAGAATAGTCCTGTGACCTAGTGACGTCTTATTTGTTTACTACTGAATATTCTGGAAGAGTGATGAGGTTACATAACAAAGACGGTGTTAAAAGGGTGTAAAACTACCCAATTACAGTGTTAACAATAATCCAAGTGGTTAGTATATCTAGGCTTTAAGTTAATAAGAGTCGAAGTACATAAGGCGACACTCTACTGCTCTTCGTAGACTAAATATATATATGCGAGTAGTGTTGGAAGCTCACTTTTAGCGTCTTACTGTAGGCAGACACGCACAGGCTTATACAACAGTTACCCGATTAACATAATGTGTCTATAAGCCGTTGTTTTCTGTGTCTCGGTAAACGTAAAAAAAGCGGCAAAAACCTCAAACGGTCTCCTGAAATCTGACCAACAAAATGGGGCATTAAATCTCACAGTTACAATTTTTTTATTTATGTTTTTGGTTTTATTTTATCTTCATTCTTCTCCCGCTCCTTTATAGAGTAGATGAAAAGATTAAAAACCACAAGAAGAAGAGTGGGGGGGATAAGAAGGGTGCAGATCAAGTTAAAAATGTGAGGGAAAAGTGAAGACAAAATTACTCGTTTGATTTCGTCTTCATCTTCATTTCTTTCCTCCACTTCATCATCATCATCATCATTGTATCTCACTTCCACTTATCATCATCAATCCTTTGCTTCCTCTACATTAAAGAGAATTATAGTATCTTTACTTTTATATTCCTTAATCTATTTGTCTTATTGTTTCGTTCATTTCTCTCACATTTCCTTTATATATCGTGTCACCATCGTTTAGGGTTTTCGAATATAAGTAATATGACCCTGAATTAGTGATGTTTATATTCACTCTTTTGATATTCTGGAGACAAATATCCCAAAGTCTGAGTAATGAGGCTTTATATTAACCAACCAGGTAAGGTAGTCTTTGAGGGGCTCTTGATTGTAACGTAGGGTCAGGTTAGGTCTGGTCAAGTCAGGTCAGGTGGATACGATGAACGGGTCATTTATGTCTTAAAACGTTCAATTATTTCCTTCGTTTAAAGCAGGGGTCACCAAACTACGGCCCGCGGGCCGGATCCCAAGTCCTTCCCCGGCTCGTGGTAGCTCCGCCTACGCTCTGACGTTACCAGAGCTTTCGTTCTGGCTTGCAAGTATTGAACAGAATGATTATGCGGCCCGCGCTCGTCATTCTTTCAGTTATCCGGCCCACTGTAAAAAAAGTTTGGTGACCCCTGGTTTAAAGTATAGTGCATTCCTTTCCAGATATAACTTTCCAGGGTTACAAAAATTAAATAATATGTGGTTTCTTGTGCTTTATTAATTCAACCAGTCACCCCATACCAACACTGGCGATCTTCTCCACCTAACCTAACCTAACCTATACAATACAGTCACCACACACACACACACACCATTGACGATCTACCCTACCGCCGGAAATGTTAAAATATCTAACCTAACCTAACCTTAACTTATCCCGCTGGGGCCCGCTAATAACAAGATCATGACACAGCGTTCCTATTCATGTCAGGGAGCTACGATTATCCCGGCCAAACCAGCATCATTGGCGTTAAAATATAGATTCCCTGCACGCCGCGCCACAATTTAATTATTTATTACTTAAATACCGTAATGCATGACTCCCTAGGCAAAATCACGTAATTGTGAGTTTAATTCATAAATAACAATTATATACCCCAAATAAGAAGTTGCTTCCTGGTCTGCCTGCCTCATTATAGGTAAAAAATACTCTCTCGTTTGTCCAGCGGCTTGTTGCTCCGGCTGAGTTGTGTGACACCCGGAATTAAAACTGACTAGTCTCGATCACAGCAAAACAATTTAAATATTATGTCTTAACTGATAAAATTGCCTTAAATTTAAAGGTTAGAGACTTTTGTATGTAATATAAAAAAAATCGACTATCCATCTAATATACTATAGGACTAGGCGTGTGTGTGTCTGTTTGTGTGTGTGTCTGTTCTGGGCAGCTGAAATGGCACAATCGTTTTTCATCAAACTTGGTGGAAAAATCGCAAAATATTCGTAGAGTGGAACAAACCTGATCCCATGTCGATGGTTTCTTTAGAAAGGCATTAATTAACAATTTTATTTGCGATGGAAAACGATGCAAGTCTACGGACTTGGCGCACCCTCATTCGCTGTACGCTGTCACGAGCGTTAAAACCTTCACAAGGGCACAAAGGGCCCGAGATCACTTGTGTCAAACTATAAAAAGTACAAAGTATTTTACAAAAGGTCAAAAGCTACTGAAAACAACATCAAATATGAAAAAGCAAATCCATCAAGGTAGAATGTCAGATGCCTGGAAGAGAAGAGAAAACTAAGTTAATTGTATTATAACTGAAGAAAAAACTATTGGAGGTGTTGTCAAAATATCGTCTGAAAGTTAAGCTACTTTAAGAACACAGATAATTAGTTCACAAATCAACTTAGGAACAAAATTTATCCAAAATCAATATAACTTTGGTTAATAAAATAGAGGTACATTAAAACTAAAGCAATTTGGGTTGATGGAGTTGTATATCACTCATTTAGCATTGATTAGTTTCCAAAACGGCCACCAGGAGTCAACACCACTTAGAAACAATACAATGAACAGCCACCAGAGGGACAAGAGTCACAAGACAAGCCACCAAGGGGAATAAGACAGACCTTTTAACTACCACTAGGATCATTATATTCATGAATAATAAAGGTTACAGTATGTTCGTAATATCTATGTGTTCCAGAGCAATAATCTCGTCCTATTAGGGAAAGACAAAATAATTCCCAGCACCGCCGCCAAAGAATAACATCACCC